GTGTGTGTGTGTGTGTGTGTGTGTGTGTGTGTTAGCTCCACACCAGGATGTCTCTCCTGCCTGAGCTGTTTCCTCCCCTGGAACTTGTGGGTTTTAGTTTTTTAGTTTTTAATTTTTTTAATTTTATTTTTTTTGGGGGTGGGGGGCTCACTTCTTCTTCTCCTCCTTTTCGTTGAACTCCAGGAAGAAGTCGTTGCAGGCGACGGTCAGAGCTCCGACCAGGATGACGAACTCGGTGAAATCGACCTCGCCGTCGTTGTTGGAGTCCAGGTCGTTCATGACCTTGTCCACGGCCTCTTTGTCCTGAGCGTTCTGCGTTTGGAAAGGAAACAAAATGAAAAAACTCTTTTTTTCTGTTTAATAATAAAAAGCTGCGCGTGCCTCGGTGTGCTTTCTTACACCCAGGTAGTTGCCCAGCTCTGTGGTGAGCAGCTCTTTGAGCTCGGCCCTGCTCAGCGTGTACTTGTCCCCCTCGTTTCCGGAGTACTTGTGGAAGGTTTGGATCATGAGCTGCATGGCGTTCTCCAGGGTGGAGGCGTTCTCTTTTTTGAGATGGGACATTCTGCAGAGGAACCAACAGAAAACAGTGTGTGTGACTATCAGTCGAGGTCAGGGCCAGGGGCGGAGCTAGGATTTTTCTGAGTAAGGGGCCATCAAGGGGCCCCAGAGGGGCCCAGTCTTTGTTCAACATCTTTGCACATAAATCCTTGGTTTTGGTAAGGTGTATAATTTTTTTTGTTGATTTTATTTCAAACTTTATTCATTTCTTAAAAAAAACAAAAGTAATTATGTACAATAAAAAAGAAAGTACAAATAAAATGAAATGAAAGGAGGCAGAGAGAAGAAAAAATCTTATAACATCTGCCCCTTTTCCCTCAAGTATAAATTCAAACAATGAATAAATAAATAAATAAATAAGTAAATTTAACCGGTCACATATGTTCAAACAATTGTAATGTAATGTTAATAAAAAAAAAAGCTTAAATTCTCCTTATCATTATAACATGCATGTTTACCGTGTATGGATAAATTATTGTCAAAGCATGTGAGAACATGAAGCCATTGTTTGCCAGTTGAAAAATATTATTTTACAAAACTGTTCAAGTCTTTTAAAGAAGAGAAGATTGATTCATGCTGGAGTTTGACTCATTAGTGCCTCTGAAAATTTGACTCTAATTAAGTCAAACATTTCTGCCAGTGGAGTAAGAACATTTTACTTGGTAAGATTCTTGAAATACTTGATTTGACTCAATTTTTTCTTATTTCAAGAATCAAGCGCCTCTAGTGTTTAGACACTTAAACACTAGAGGCGCTATAGAGCATTCTTGAAAATAGAAAAAATTGAATCAAATCAAGTATTTCAAGAGTCTTACCAAGTAAAATTTTCTTACTCCACTGGCAGAAATGTTTGACTTAATTAGAGTCAAATTTTCAGACTAACTAGACAAATAATCTTACACATTCTGAAAACAAGATGGTTATTCTTACAC